CCACTGTCGTAATTTCTGAATAAGTTGATTTAGTCTTACAAAACAGAATTGGCATTCCTCGTTCCGTATTAGTAGTTCCTCTGTAACCGTGGAAAATAAACTCCACTGGATCTATAATGAAAAATTTTTTTGTTATTTCTTTTTTTTAGTGAATCTGAGGGTTTTTGGGGGATATCAAAAGAGTCATTTATGTAGAAATCGAAATCAATTGGCAGGAGCCAATCGGATTACAAATACTTGATTAAGATTTAGATCTTTCAAAGGGGTTCGTAATAGGTTTCTTGCACTGGCTGATCACGGGACTCCGCTACTCTAATATTTCGCTTTTCCCCGAGTCTAAATGTACCATCTACTAATCAATGAATATCTTTCCAGAATAAACGTTGGAAGAAAAGAATTGAATAATAACAATAATAATATATATATGAAATGGTGGCGAATAGCGGCAGATACATGAACAACTAACAATGCAGAGTATGATCTAAATTAAACTAAAAGAGCAAAAAAAATCCCACCCAAGTACAGATCATTTAACGCGGTAGTCTTGTTTTACATAGTGGACTTTAATATACTAAAACAAAAACAACCGTGACCCTCTGTACATTACTAAACAGTTAGTTCTTGAATATACAGCAACGACAAGGCGGGTATAAGTGACTTATAATTTATGACTTTATCTCCATTCACAAGATTTACTATCACTTTTAAAACAAATACCGATCTAAACTAGATTTTTTTTTTTTAGTTCTTGAATTTAGTATTCCTACATTTACTAGGACTCATAGTCAACTACGAGATATTTCCCTACATCAGAGTTGATGATTTGAACAACACGAAAATTTCATGACTTTATAGCGGCTAAGTAGTCCATACTCATGCGTATAGTGTTTCACTCTGTTTTTTTATATGTTGGAAAGAATTAAAATAAAACACAATAAAATATGATATTTATATTATCATTCATTTACGTTTGACCAGTTCTCTATTGTTCAGTTCAATTGTCTATTCAACTTTCTTTAGTTTGTAATTGATACTTTTGCTTACATAATCGGCGGTTTCCAAGAAAACCAGAATTGGATGCTAGAACAAACAAATGGGATGAATAAATATATATAAATGCAACCTCAAATAAATAAATTGTTCTCTCAACTCAAGAGACGTAATAAGAAGACATAGTGATGATTCTACAACTAACCACTCAGTGTAGTCATGTGAGGATGAGAAATAGAGAAGGTCTGTGTCAAACAGCAAGGTGATCAACTTACATTTCTATTCCTCGGCTATTGCGCTTTATTCTCTCCACACATTGTAACTTGAATCCACAAAAGAATGTATTGAAAAACAATACCAGTAATTATTATTTAACTGCAAACAATAGAGTATATGTAATAATAATAAATATAATGATAATAATTGAGCAATTATATATACATATATATATAAATATGACCCAAATGTGGGTTAATCGTGTGTAGCTCAATGATAATATATCCATGAATAAACCTTCTTTTTTTTATTTTATTTTATTTGTTTATTTAGGTTAACAAAGGAAGCAGAAGGGGGGGGGGGAGGAAGAGGAAAGGGAGGAATATCTACATGAAATAATGAATAGAATTCGCCTTAAATTGATAAATGAAAACATAGTTTAGTGAAAGTTTTCCAGATTTTATACTTTCCTCTTCATTTATCAACCACATGTTCATTCTAATTGTTTATTACGTAACGGTACCAAGTATTATGTCCAACTTTGTTAATATAAATAATAACTCAACAAAAGTCTATTATTATACTTGGTTGTTACACTTGATAATAATAATAGTCTTTTAAGAAAAAAAAGTTTAATGTTGATTTCTTCTATTCACTGCTATTGCTTATACAGAGAAAAAGGTCCCACTTATTTTTACACTCAAGGGCTGAGTTACTTCATTGTTCTATCTTTGAATTGAGCTGAGCCGAACTGAGTCAAACTGCAACATAGGAATCCACTGTAATCATTTTCTACCATTTAACGATAATAATAACAGAAAGGAAAAAGACCCCTAGAAGTATTATTAATAATACTTATCCAGCCCCCCTCGTAACTGATTTTTACTAATCCTTAGGTATAGAACCGGTTAATTTCTTTGTTAATTATCGCCAAATGCCAACCAATCAGCCTAGTTCTTCTTCGTCTGTAAGTTTGCTTTGTCAATTAAGTTTCTTCGCTTATGTACTATACTACTACTACATGTTTGTTTCTTTTTCTATTTACTGGCAAAGTAATCGGCACAATGGAAAGTATCAATTCAAACAAAGCAACAAAAAAGCTTAATGTTATTATTTCTATTTATAAATATCCAAACAGATATAGCAAGAATAAGGAATAAGCACAAACAAGAGTAAGTATTAAACTTTAGAGTGAACATCAAGAGAGTAGTATTCTAAGATTACTTGTCTCCTTTTGGAGTCGTATGGTACAATTGAAAGTAGATGTACATATATCTACATTATCCAAAAACAAGTTCGACAAATAGAAAAACCTTCTCTTCCCCCGATTCAAAGGGTTAGTAACCATTAGATATATGGTTCTTAGCATAAGTTCATTCATTGCAACAAATGGAATATGAGTTGTTTCTTTACAAGAATAATTATAATACCTTTTTTCTTAGTGTTTGTAAATTATCAATACTGGTATTCCAACCAAAGAGAATTGGGAATATGTAGAAAGTTTCCTAACCGTTGGGGGGATTTATTGGAAAAAGCAAAATAATAATACTCTAGAATTGTAACATTTGGAAGTTTTTTCCAGTTGAATATTTTTGACAACTAAATGACCACTTTGCAAAGAAAAACGCAAAAGATCATCATCATTGGTTTTGCATTAATTAGACAGGGTTACAGTATTAAACACCTTGCAATAAAAGAAAGAAAAAAATGAACAACACCAAGAACAAACAAAATAATAAGGAGTGGAGGGTGTGTGTGGTGGCAGTACAATAGGTACAATTTCTCTTTTGAATTATAAACTTGAATGGAACATCATTTTATTAATAATATTGTATGGGAAGAAGAAGACAAGATAAAGGGAATAGGTTGGTATACGGTTTAATAACATCACCTGGAATGTTTACGCACGACCTCACCAATATCACCACAATCTCTACCGCTACCACTACCACTACCAGTTGAAAACCCTAAAAAAGATTATTCAATTAAGGAATTAGGCAAATGGTTACTTTCTTTTGCTTCAAACTGCTTTGAACTTAGTTTTAAGTTATTAGACTATGAATGAATGAATCAAGTATGAGAAATTTTATTTTTATTTAGATTTTATTTGGTTTTGTTTCCAATTGATTATTGTTTCCTTTCATTAGGTTACACAAATTAACTATGATGAAAATTTTAACCGATTTTACATTGCTTGCTTATTTTTTGGGTATCACAAGTGGGAAAGCTTAAAACAATAACCAAAAGTCAATGAAGAAAGAAACAACGAAATTATCATGAGCCGTATACAGTACATGTATGTGTACTTATAGGTATAGGTATAGTTATACATATGCATATGCATGTGCATATATTTATATGTAGGCTTACACTTAGACTTTGGTCACAAACTAAACAACATTGAATAACACATACTGCATTGATATTTAATCTATTCTACGTATTTGATAATTTACATTTGAATGTATATCGACTTAATGAATAGGCAATACAAAATTATAATCTTACATTCATACATACATTGCCCATCCTGTACTTGTGGACTCTTTTTCTTTTTCCTTTTTCTTTTTTTTTTTTTTCAATTTTACACTTTGTATGTGCATGCTTCCTGTCCTTGTTTTTAGTTGTTCTTACTGCTGTTCTTCTAGTTGGTAATGGGTTTGGTAAAGTTGTGAATTCTACATGGTTATTACACAAAATGTATTTCCTTTCTTTCTTTTAATAATAATTGAAATTTATTTTGTGGAATTTATTGTTTAAAAAATTTCATACTAAAAAGGAACAAGTAAAACAGGTAAGAGAATAATGCTAATATTAATAATAAATATAAATATATAAATAAATATATAAATCCAAGGTATCAAAAATGAATATAACCATCAAAAATAAAAAAATAAAAATCCAGATTCATTTTTATTCTTCATTTCCGTTCATTCTTTTTTTTTTGTTTTGCTTATAAGTCAAGATCTTGTTTCAATTTGGATTCAACTATTACATGCATATGATTGATCTATTGTAAAACCCACTGTTATTACTATCAACTGCAACTAAATACATTCCAAAATATTATTTGTATTTAACTGGTGTGGAATTAAATTATCTAACTTATAGTTATATAAATCCGACATTTTTTGTATTCAGTT